TCAGGTTCACTTCTGCATAGAAACCAATCAGCTTCTAAACTCAGCTTGTTCAATTAATGTGTCACTAAACCCACATCATAAAAAACTATCAATAAATGCAGTATTACATGTTGGTTATAGTCACTATGAGATTTGTTTTCTGATTTCTGCAAGAAACCTAGTTGATCCTGCTGCTCTTTATCTCCACCTTCTGCTCATGTCCCCAATTCAGCTAGGGATTTTGTAGCTGTAGAGGCAACCCTACACAAGCTCAGTTTGCAGTGAGTTGCTGAGCATTTCCCACCTATCACATCTGAGCAGCCCGTGTGACTATAGAGTCACACATGTGGGCATATACACAGTGGTAAATGACAGCCCACTCCCTCCCGCCTCCTCCCTGCCCAGTAATCAGCTAAACACAATGGGGGAGGGATATTACATGTAGATTAATGGGAGGAATCACCTCCCTGTTATTCTAAGACATGGTGTGCCACAACCTGTGACTGGCAGAATTTCGCCCACACCCATGTTATTTTCACAAAATAATAAAGATTTGATTTCAAATATATATTTGTGTGACAATTTCATACAGTTTATATTGATATTATTTATTTGTTTATTTATGTATGTATGTATTACTCCGTATTCCAAAGGCTTTTTTTTTTATTTTGAACATGTGACCAGAAGCAGAGGACTGGAGGCTCCTCCTGCTTATGTTTCCCTGCAGAAAGGCTGGGAAAGATCTGGGTCATGTGACAGCTGTATATCAATTAGGAAAATGGTACTTAGATTTTTTTTTTATTATTATAGTTACAGTGCCATCATCCACATACAGAAATCAAAGGAATCACGTAAATAAAAGAGTGTGTGTTTAGTATCATTTAAAGCTTTGGCAATAAAACCTGGAAGCTGATTGATTTCTATGCAGAAGTGAGCCTGATTTTGCACTCTCCAGTTTCAGTAAATATATCCCGCAGTAGTGTTTATTCCATATTAATGTAGGAAACACATAACAGTGTAGGCAACATTTGATTGGAGGTCAATTTTCAGTATATACTCAGGTGTGAGCAGAGAATAACCCAATTCACTAACACTATCTTTATGTTTTATCCTCAAAATTACTGATTTCATGCTTCTTTTTTTACCACCCTTGACATCGATTTCACTGTTCTATTTTATTATAGAAATCTCACTTGCCTCCAAATATATTTCACTGTCAATACTAATCAAATATTCCTCCAGCTTACCTTTCATCATAGTTTCCCTTGGTTTTATGATTTATTACCCTATTATATATATATCTGTAACTTTCTCCCTCATCCAAATGTAGTGCTGATTTTTAAGTATATTTATATTGTACATAGGACGTAACATGACCTCTCAAAACAACAGTAGTAAAGGTTAGTGTGTAACATATCATCATTTAGAATCTCTTTGTGCCTGGGGACCAAAAATGTTCGAAATTCCGCTGGACCCTATAAGTAAATAAGACACCTCCAAAACTTTACAGGTTTTTTCCCCTTTTCCCCTATGGGGCATTCCGGCAGTATTTTTTGTGGAGACTCCATGGAACACACAGCTTCCAATATTTGCAACAAGGTACATATGCAAAGACTCAGTGATACAGGATGGGTTCACAGTGCCATGGGATTTTCCATTGGTCTTTGTCTTTCTCCAGTGTCCTTGATTATGAAGGTGCTTCTGGAAATTTGGAGAGAACATGACATGCCATAAAGGTGCTTTTTACCTGCCGAAGAGGCCTTGGTTTTTGCTGCTCCTCCAGATGTCATCAGCATCAACAATCCTGTTTCCAGTCAAATGCGATGTTTTATGCCTAGGTCAGTGGCAGCATCCCAATCCAGTGAGACAAACTTAAACAACCTGGCTATTGAATCGGCCGTTCTAGAGGCACAGAGAATCTCATCTGAGGTGGTTCAGATCTCGTTGAAGGCCAGAAGATCATTCATGAATGCTAGGTACCAGAGGATATGAAGAACGTTTGTTTTTTTGGACCAGGAAAAGATTTTTCTTCTGTGTTCCCAGCTCTAGCCAATATCATGGACTTTTGTACAATTAACGCTAGAGGTTGGTTTGGCATACAACTCCATTAAAGTACAGATCTCTGCCTTATCCTCTTTCTCAGGCTGCAGATGGGTGGAAGAGCCATTAACCAGATGCTTTGTGCAGTCGGCAAACTTTATACGACTCCCAAGGAAATCTTTGTTCCCTTTGTGGGACTTAAGCTTGGTTCTGAAAGCACTGGTGCAGTCACTCTTTGCTTCAATAGTTTCATTTCTGTTGAAGTTCCTCACAATAAAACTAGTTCTTCTGACAGCAAGTACTTCAGACAGAAGGGTGTTGGAGATTGCAGCACTTTCCTGCAAAAAAACCCTTTGTGTCTTTTTACCAGAAATAGTTATATACTACTTCCATCTCCAAAGCTCAATTCTAAAGTGGTATACAGTTTCCAGGAAAACTGGGAGGCAGTCAATGAGTACACAGCAGGAAGAACTCAGTTCCTTACACATGGTCAAGTTGCTAACAGTGTACTTGCAAAAGGTCAAAAGACTTGGCAAAAGTGGACAATCTTTTCATTTTGCCATCAGGTCATTAAGAGTCATCTTCTGTTGGATTACCAGAGTGATTAGATTGGCATGCAGGTAGTAGGAATTTCTGCTCCGGAACAGGTGCAAGCTCATTCAACCAGAGGGGTGGCAGCCTTTGGGGCAGTTATGACAAGATTTTGGTGGACATTTTTGTGCGACCTTCATTAGTCTTTACAAGCTAGACATGTGGTCAGCAAGGTCTGCAAAGTGTTCCTTTGATTGTCAGAGTATCTTATCATGTTTTCTCTCCGACCCATTATATCCCATTGTGTGCTGGTGTGAGATGGTCCAGGAGTATGGAAAATTGTTATCAGATAAGTACTGTAATTTTCCTTTTCTGGCCTATCCTCACATCAGCAAAGGTCTCCCTCCCTAATGGCCTGTCACAGGCTAGGTTATCAAACACTTCAGCTGGGGAGGGGCTGTCTCTTATTGAGCTAAGAAGAGATGGTCTTGTGGATTCCAGAGGAGGAGTTAACCTGTTTTGTGCTGATGGGACAGGAGGATAGGCCAGGAAGGCAAAATTACAGTAAATATCTGATAACAATTTTCTATATTCTGTGCAATATAATTTCACAGAGCACGTAAGTGTTACTTCCTATTTATTTTTTTGTAAATTTTTACTTTAATGTCATTTTAACATTCCAAAACACAAAGGTGTGAATGCAGACTCACCAGAAAGCAAATTTAATTTACTGTTATGTCCTCCTCGTGTGGGCAAATTAGTATTAATATTATGATATTGTCATCCTTTGGTAGTTTGTGTCCTTGTACTGTGAAATAGTTGATGGTAAGTATTTAATGAGCACAAACCTAACAGAAAATAATAATCAAGAACACAAATAGGACACCTGCAGGTTTGTCACTGTGTATCATCAACATGTGTTTTTCTCCTGGACATGGTTTTTGAACGAGGTTGTATTACAGTGTGTATATCTTTGGCACCGGGACCACACTGGCTGTCAACAGTAAGTAGCAATTTTTTTCTTTTTTTTCAGATTGTAATTTTTCCAGGTGTTAGATTTTCATTAATACTTCATAATATAGACAAAAAAATTGTGTTATGGAAATGTTGTGGGAGTGTTATGGCTGGTTTCATCTGACATATGTTTTGGATAGTTGACTTTTTAAGATATTTTGATTTGTATATTTTAAAACTTTATTTTTAATATGTACTTCAAACACATGAAAATTGTAAGTGATACTAAACACTTATTTATAAACAGGCTTACATGCAAGAGTGCCTTTCTCAAAATGTGTCTTAGCTGTTTTCCAGTCTACTGTCACTGATCAGTGTCATACTTTTTTGGTAATTTATACTAGAGAGGAACTAAACTGTATAGCACAAATCTTCATTCCTTTAGCTGAATTGCAGGAGAAAAATTGTAATACAGATAATTCTATATGACAATTTTAATGCTGTTCATAAGTCAAGATTTAGGTTTATATGGAGTGTATACCTGCCATAACAAATAATACTGGCAACAAACTGTACTTTTGAAAGTAACCAACATATATAAAAATATATTTAGCTTAAATTACAATGATTATATACTTCAACATGAAATATTTTGTTCTCATAAGATGTACAGGGGTTGATTTACCAAAAAGCAAATAAGCTGTTCACTTTGCAAGGGAATTTTCCTTTAGCTTATTGTATGGGGTAAGGTTCTGCTGATGTCCATCTTCCAATAATGTGAAAGCAAAAATACTGTTTTTTTGTACTTGCACATAATTAGGTCTTTTTCCTTTTTGCCAAGTGCATTTTTACCATATTCACAAATCTAAGGAAAAATCCCCTTGCAAAGTGAAAATTACCTTGTAAAGTGAACAGCCTATTTTCCTTTAGTAAGCCAAACCCTTGGCATATTATTTTTAGGTATATTACATATTAATTTTGATTTTACTGAAAAATTGCTACAGGCTAGATTTATTCCTAAAACATAGGTGGACATTACACATACAAATATTTAAAACCTAGATACATATATAATTTTATTGTCAGTATAGTTATCATATTCTATATAGAATTATAATTATATTAGATTTAATCTAATTTTATGCTCATTCATCTAGACACAAATTGTTGGTAAGTGCCCAGCCATCTGTAACCTTTACCATTAAATACAAACAAAATGGATTATGTAAGACTTAATATAATCTACTAAAATGGTTGAAATAAGTAAAACATGAACTCTTATGACCAATTTAAGGTGTAATTTGTAATTGTGTTTTTTTTCATCATCTTCCATTTCAGTGACTTAATAGTTTGCAGATCTTCTGACTGTTATATGTACAATTTTTTTAACTTTTATTTTTATTTATCAATAGCTGGTCAAGTGAAGATACCATCATTGCTCGTTTATCCTCCATCTGAGCAAGAAATAGAGGCAAAAACGGCCACTGTGGTCTGTAATGTCTTTAATTTCACTCCCAGGACTGCAACAATTGAGTGGCTGGTGGATGGAAAATCCTGGACAACTGGGGTCTACACATCATCAATCAGCAAACAGAGTGACAACTCATACATGGGAAGCAGTTTCCTCACCATGACTTCCTCTGATTATAATACACATGATGGGTACTCTTGCAAAGTGACACATGAGGGCAAAGAGTATTTCCAAATACTGAAGAGATCAGAGTGCCATTAACAGTCCATTCCCTATTTTGGGTATTATTCTAATTAGCTTAAGCCATTGAAATATCCACCTAAATACTTATGATTTTTTTTTAACCACTGTATCTGTTTCTAATTTGTCTTTTTCCCATATTTTTTCTATTCTTCAAAACATAGTAACACAAATAAGGGTCATGTTCTGTTTTCTGTCTTTTATCTGCATGAAATATTCAATAAAAATGTATCTTTATAAAGTTTTGTCATCATTGAAAATTTTATATGAAATTCCAAGTCAACCACTTTTGTATAACAGTGACAATGCTGCCACCTGAAAGGTTTTATTACTTGGTACAATGAAAAACATATACAGAGGCAGCCTAAGTGTTAGTAAGTTTGAAAGCTGCAGTCACTGAGGGTGTAAAGAGCATTTACTGAACAAAATAGCCATTTATTTTGATAAGCTAAGAGCTTTAGTAAATCAACACTAATAGATTTATGTAATATAATTTCTTGGGTAAATCAGATGCCAGGACAGAACCACACAATATAGTGGTTCCTTGGATACATAATGTAGTAAGACCTATGTATTCATATGCAAAGTTTCTATGCAACAAAAATGTGACCTGGATTCCTATAACTATAGGATTCAACAAATATCAGAAATGTAGGGGGTGGAAGATGATCACAAAATAAATAGTCCAATAAACTGTAATCTCGTCTCCTTGGCATGGGTTTGAACCCTTAGTAAATGATCAGTAGGATATTTAACACTCTTAACCGTGAAATAGGTAAGATAATGTAGTTTGTGAAGTAAATAGGATGCAATAAAAGGGAAACTGTAAAAACACATGACAACAAACTAAAGAAACAGACAATGTTTTCCTATACATTACTGCACAAAATAAAGCTTGGAAATTGTGTGGAAGAATTTACATGTGCAGAATAAAGTCTGAAAGCTAATATAAAAATCCAATATATAATCTTATCAAGTAGGATTTGACTCTATTACTGTACAAACAAATAAAGCATGGACACAATTTCATGTGACATGAAGAGATTTAATAACTGTTATCATCAGTATCTTTGTTAACATGTCATAATACACTGGTCAGGTCCTTTAAAACATTAGCACTTGACCCATGGGCCTCTTAAGTGGCATAGTGAACTAATGTTTTATGGTCCCAGATCAATAACACTTATATTATGCATCATTAACATCCTCGTCCTCATTGTCCTTATCCATTCATCACATACTGATGCCCATTTTCTTACAGGGGAGATATTAGAGGTCTATTAAAATATTAAAACTTAAATCTGCAGGCCATTTACAGGGCTACAGTTAAAAAATAAAGGGGAGGACTGTGAAATAAACCCATATGATACAATAGATGTCCCTGGAGTTAATTCAAGATCACAAGAAGTACAGACATGTCAACTATTCTTCATTATTAAAGCCACCTTGGAGCCATATGTCTATTCAGTTATGGTGTTAGCACTCTGATATGTGGGGTTACAATTAAAAATATGTGGGGGATTGTGAAGGCAACCCACATGATACAATAGATGTCCCTGGAATTATCTCAAGATCACAAGAAGTATGGACATTTCAACTGTTCTTCATTATTAAAGCCACCTTGGAGCCATATGTCTCTTCCGTTATGGTGTTAGCACTCTGATATGTAGGGCTACAATTAAAAAACATTGTGGGGGATTGTGAAGGCAACCCACATGATACAATAGATGTCCCTGGAGTTATCTCAAGATCACAAGAAGTATGGACATTTCAACTGTTCTTCATTATTAAAGCCACCTTAAAGCCATATGTCTCTTCGGTTATGATGTTAGCATTCTGATACATGGGGTTACAATTAAAAAACATTGTGGGGTGACAGTGAAGGCAACCAATATGATATAATAGACGTCTTTGGAGTTATCTCAAGGTCACAAGAAGTATGGACATTTCAACTGTTCTTCATTGTTAAAGCCACCTTGAAGCCATATGTCTCTTCAGTTATGGTGTTAGCATTCTGATTCATGGGGATACAATTAAAAAACTTTGTGGGTGATTGTGAAGGCAACCAATATGATACAATAGATGCCCCTGGAGTTATCTCAAAATCACAAGAAGTATGGACATTTCAACTGTTCTTCATTATTAAAGCCACTTTTGAGCTATACGTCTATTCAGTTATGCTGATAGAAGGTATTGTAGTTTTTTTTAGTACAGCTCTAAATCACTGTGGTGGATTTTCGGTGGTGGAACCACACTCAGCATCATGAGTAAGTATTATGAATTACTACCAAGTCTTGTGATATGTGCTGATTATTATGTCTTTTTTTTCTTTCACAATATCATGCTTCTAAAATCCTTTTTCAAATATTTATTTTGTCTTTTATTGCATTCTACAGTCCTTTCTCTGTCTGTGTTTCATTTTATCTGCAATATGTATCTTTCTAAGCCTGTAAAGATGATAAATGCACAATACAAAAAACATACTGCCTAATAATGGGAGTATAATAAACACCTATAATGAGAATGTCTAATTTTGTTTGTTAATATAATAAGATGAGCTTAACTGCCATGCTTTTTGTTTCAGGATCCATCATCGATGATTTATATTAAGTTATCACCTTTTATATTATACAATATTAACTCTCCATACATTATGAGGTTAAAGTAATGTTTTGCAGAAAGTCAATAGAACTACAGCAACTACGTATGAATCAATAAGTGTAAACATACAATTCTTATGGAATACATTCCATGATATTCATCCAAAAGCTGCCCTTTCATACCACAGTAGATCAAGTTAGACCTAAGTCAGTTATAAGGCATTGCAGTAATTCTGCTTTCACCAACATGATCTTGCAGTTGAATTTGTGCACAAAGTGTTAATTTGTTCTTTGATTTATCTTTCTACACTATATACAAACCTCCTTTTTATAATAATTTTGGGCATTGATTACATTCTACACTATATTCCCATTTTTGTGTGAAATATCTATATTTTTTATCTTAAGTGGAGAGGTAGTGTAAGAAGTCTTTTAAACATCAGGTCTTAAGCTCCCTGTGCATGTTGCAATTTGACTCTTCAATCTTTTGTACAATCTCCTTTAAAGCAGCCCATAGATGATTTAATTTTTTACATTCAAGCAGCAGGTTGAATGCAAAAAGTTCACACTTACCGGATAATTTGTCTACGTTTATTAACCTAAAAGTAGATACAGCCTTAGATTTACCAAAAATATCTAATATGAGGTCCTACCCAAACTATCCAATTAATTTTTATCTTATCAAGCAGTGGCTTATATTTCAGAATTGTTGGTGGATCTAAAGGAGATTGCACAGTCAGATTGTAATGAGTAAGCTGAGCTTTAAACTCCTGTACCTGTGAAATTATTTCATTATGCAGTATAATATTGAGAACTGCTTTTTGTGGGTGTCAAAACAAAAGCACTTTGCTTCTTGGGGTTACATTTACAAAACAACCTTGTTCTTGATTACTTAAAAGCAATCTGGATGATAAAATGCAATGGCCTGGATATACTTTAACAGTGTAATAAATGTAGATATTTCTGCATAAGTTCTAAATTTTTCATTAATATGTCCACATCTTTAATCACGGTGTTCTGAGGGCTCCATTAAGGTATGGAAGTTTTTGTATAGCTCTAAATTACTGTGGGGTCTTTTTGATGGTTGAACCAAATTTACTGTCCTGAGTAAGTTCTATCATTTTTTTCTTTATTCAATCGCTATTTACTGTATGCATCTGGAAACTTCTTTCTAATATAGTTTGACATTTATTGCATTCTACAATATTTTTTTTATAATTGTGCGTAATTTTATATACTTTTTTAAGTGCTTACAGGAAATATATATGCATAGAACAAATTGCTTTATACCTTGTAGGGACAATTCAACTGTTGTAATGCTTGTTATTATAGTTACAAGTCTACTTGATCTGCTATTCTCACAAAGAATGTTATAAAGGCTTTGCTAATGAAGCAATGATGTGAGAAGTTCAGCATCCCATAACAGCTGACCTGATATAGTTTGCTAGTCAGATCACTGAAAGATGAAGTTTGAGTGATGAGTTACTTGTATGATGTACTTTGTTCCATCTCTTATCATATACAATCTTCAGTAACATTGTGCTGTACATCAGTGCTATTGTACAAGACTGCAGAGTATCTTTTTTAACAAGAACTCTCATTTTAATAGTTGCTTTTGTTAGCTTAGGGTAATATATATATATTTTTTTTAATGTACCTTTATTTAAAATTTTATATTTCAGTCCTGTTCCTTTACTTATCTAGCTCTCTGTGAATTAAAAATGTTATTTGAAAATAAACTTTCATATATGGAAACATTCAAAGTTAAAGTAGACTCACAGGGGTTGATTTACTAAAGGCAATGTTCACTTTGAAAGTGAAGTTGCATTTTGCAAGGGAATTTTCCCCATAGCTTAGTAAATATAGTGAAACATCACTTTGCAAAACAATACCCAACCACATGCAATGACAATTAAAAAAACACAATTTTTGCTTGCACAGTAAGCTTTGAGGAGGAACTTCCATTGCAAAGTGCAACTGCACTTGCAAAGTGAACAGCCTAATTGCCTTTAGTAAATCAACCCCACAGTGCAGTAACTTGTTGCAACAAAAAGAGATTCCCTAAGGGATGATTTATTGCTTTGCGATACTACACTTTGCAGTTTGATTTTTTGAATCACTGGAGTAGAGAAGCTTCACTTTACAAAGTGAATGTTCACATAAATTATATTTTCCCCTGCACATGATTGGGTACTCAAAGAGAACTTACATTAAACTTACCCACTATGTTAAGGAAACATTCTCTTACCCTTTAAGTAAACCAATTAATTTTTTTAAATCTGATGATAAATAAGTGATGTTAAGTGAACATTCTCTACCCCTTAAATGAAGCAGCTCCACTGAATAAACCTGATGATAATCAAATGACTGTAACAGTTATCACATTGTATATATGATTTGCCTCTGTGTTTCTTTTATCCAACAGCTGGTGAAGTAAAGGTACCAACTGTATCTATATATCCTCCTTCTGAAGAGGAACTGAAGACAAACTCAGCCACCATAGTTTGCACTGCCAGTAATTATCTTCCCAGATCTGCAACAATGGAATTTCTGGTGGATGGGCAGAAACAGACAAATGGGGTCTACACCTCATCAGTCACCAAACAGAGTGACAGCTCATACATGGGAAGCAGCTTCCTCACTATGACCTCCTCTGATTACAATAAATATAAAGAATACTCCTGCAAAGTGACACATCAAGGCAAAGAGTTTATCCAGATACTAAAGAGAGATCGGAGTGTTTCTAATATTCAGTTTACTGATTGGTGAATTACTCTAGTGGCCTTCATTCACACAGGATATCAACATTATGTATTTTTTCTCTCAACAGTAGCCACTAGATTATTTTTTTTTCTTTTTGTGAATTACTCTTATGAAATGTCTCACTTTTAGCTTTCCTATCCTTTATTTTACAAGTGAAATGGCAACAGTTACTGTGTACTGGCCATACGTTTTTCCTTTCATGTTGTCTCTGACTCATTTAATTAAAAAAACCTTTATCAAATCTCAGTATTGTCTTTATTGAAGAAGGTAAAACAGAAAATGTGAAAACTGCACAGTTATATTGTAATGCATAAGAAATCTGTGAAGTCAGTAAAAGAGGAAAAAAAATTTATGTTGAACCCTAAGACACTGCAGCTTCCTCATATTTTTTGTGTAATGCTAAGCATCTTATAATAAGAATATAAAATGTGAAAAAAAAATGCAATTTTCAATTGTTTCTTCTAATACGACATATTAGAATACTCAGATCGCTCAACTTATTGTAATATTTTGATTTACTAAATTGATATAGAGAAAACTGATATTTCACTTCGGATTGGTGAGTGTTGGTGGGTCAAAGTGTACCATTAGGAAGTTTCTGGCTCTGACTTCACCGTCACTGGGACCTTATGCCTCCTCTGGGAGTAAATAGAGTGTGACTGTATCTGTACATTCTGGGGGAAAATAAAACCCTTTGTTCATTTCTACAAAAGGTACGGTGAATTCAGACACAAATGCTACAAAGCCACCAGGCTATAAGATGAAACATACAGAGGCCATTTATTCTGCCAGAATCTTTCAAAAACTGATATAACCTGTAATGGATGACAACCTGGATTTAAATAAAGAACACTAGTTGCCACATTATGTAAAGCGCTGTGTAAATTCTCTGCGCTATATAGTTACCTGTAATAAACAAAATAAATAAACATTGCTCATAACAATTTATTAAATCACATGTCTTGTTATACTTCAAATCAGTCAAAAATGAGCTGATGTCACTTTAGGCAAAATGGAAGTTGACAGTTGATTTTTGTGTGGCATATTTATCAAACCCATTTCTAAAACTGGAGACAAGAAAATGGTGAACAAAAGTTGAATCACAAAAATAAACTATATGACTCTAAGATAGCTAGGGCCATGGAGTGGAGTGGTGTGTGTGGATAAAGTCTCAAAGTTTCAATGCAAAAGGGAAACCACACTAGGTGTGTTTTGGGTAGTAAAAGTACTAAATCCCAAATGGAATGTGTCCACTTGAAATGGCCGTAGCTCCTCCATATGAGTTTTAGTATATTAGCCCTTGCACTGTCAAAACAAAAGAAACAGCGGGCGCTGCCATCTAAGTGTAGATTTACTTGAAACAATAAAAAGAAGTAAAAAATTGCACTCACATTATATAAAATCACAAAATAATTACTAGTCCTCTGGTATCTGCAGAGCTTGGCAGGTCAAGGTAGAGCAGAGTAACGCCTGGAAGGAGCTGGGCTGAATGTGCAGATCGGAGATTGTAGAGCCGAAGCAGGAAGCATTGTTAACCAAGCCTTCGGCGGGAGCCAGCGTTGAATGCACCATCAGCTTTGAACCAAGAGCGGAACCAGAGACTAATTAAGCTAATTATTTAATTATTGGTCACTATGCACAGCTGCACTAAATTCTATGTGTATCAGTTTTAGCAAATCCCCCCTACAACTGGTAAAAGATTTCTACCGGAGGGACATTTCAGAAGTTGTGTACTTAGGTAGTGTCATAATAGTTGCAATATTCTTTAGTACAAAGTAATTGGCCATTTTCAACAGTGACATTATCTTTTAGGATTTGAAGAACCATGATGTGATTTTTAACACAAATCCAATATTACATACCGATATAATCAGTCAATTTCCATAATATTTGTAATATAGCATTGAGGACTGTAACATTTACGTGGTACCTACTCATCTTACAACAGTCCAAAAACCATGGCCAAAAGATAACAATTTTGAGAGCAATAATTTATAATGGTCATTTGGTTACACAATTGCTTATTCTCTTATATTAATTTACTAGTATCCAAAATAGATATGTTGCATTACAAGTCAAACAAATTGTTTAAAAGTGTTCTGTAGTCAAGGTCATATTTAATTCTTCACTCTCAGCAATCTTAGTCTTAGTAATATTCTAGGTTGCCTAAGTCATGCAGTTTTTGTACAGCTGTAAAACACTGTGGTACATTCTCTGAGTGGAGTCCTGATTCGTTGTCCTCAGTAAGTCGTATATTTGATCACAACCAATATAAAAATCTAATATTTGTTAGTTTGTGTTCACTTGCCAGCTTTTTTTCTTAATGAAAGAAAATAAAATTATAACAAAATTAATATTAATTTAAACCCTAATTTACATTATTATTAATTTCTTTAGACTTTTTTCTCTTTTAAAACCTAAGCATGCTAGAAGTCACTTGTCATGGATAATGTGTTTAATGTTAACTTTACATGTTTTTTTCATTTAAATAATTTTTTCCTTTGTTTATTATAAGACATTTTACTATTTAACAATCCACGATTACCACTTATGATTATCTATCTATCTATCTATCTATCTATCTTTCTATCTATCTACAATATCTAAATAACGTATCACAGCAAGCATTTTTGAAAGTCTTAACTTTAAGATATATCAAGTTAAATATATTGGTCAGTGCTGATTTGAGCCAGTTATAAGTTTTTGATAACAAGGCTAAATATAGAAAAAAGGAATCATTGACAGTGTAATGCTTTTTTCTAATGTGTTACCATTAACAACAGCAGGTAAATATTATAGCACAGAAGGCATTTGGGCATCACTTTAACATTTTATGATTTTATATCTATAGCCACAATGCTCCTCTTTCTTCTTACCTAGAGTACTTTATTATAGTTATTTTTGTTCAATGTGAAAGGTCCCAGGGCCCTAGAAATAGCAAAATGTTTCAATACTGAACAAGGACACCTGTCTTACTAGCAAACTTGAAGAATAAGCTTAGCTGTGTCTTGAGTCATTGAACTATTAAATACATATCCAGCCATCTGTGCAATATGCACCACTTTCTGCTGTCATAGAAGTACAGGTACAGAGTGACAAAGTTATTTTTCTTAATTTTGTGCATTTTTACGTGACAAAACAAACAAGAAGCATTAAAAGGGAAGTCTGTTTCAATGCAAAATGCATAAAAAAGGTTCTAGCCTTGAACAATTGTTGTTTTAGGTCAATAATATAAGTGTAATTTACTAGGGTAGCAGAAAATTAAGGTAGCAGAAAATGTTTTAACATTCTCTACCCCTTTAGTAAATAAACCACATAAAGTATTCAATCTAAAAGAACATTTTATTATTACTATTTCAAAAAATGTTAGTATAGTTCAGAAAATTGCAGGGAACACATTTTGATCAGTTACTCTGTAGAATAGCATAGTGTGTTAACTGAGAAATGTTTCATGGTGTGCAAACAGTTTTTGTTCAGCTCTCCATCACTGTGGGTTCTTTTTGGAAGTGGAACCCAGCTCATTGTCCAACAGTAAGTAATGCAGTCTTCGCACTTCAAGTTATATTATTGTTTTTGTTATTTAATTATTATTTTTCATGCTATGAAAGTAGAATGTCATTTGTATATATACTACCATTTTATTGCAATTAAGATCATAATACTTTTTTTTCTTTTCTTTCTTCAATTTGTACATCCAATACAATACAACTTGCTAAGTGTACATTATGATTTTCTCTTGTTGTTTTTATTGTATTAAAACTAGCCGTTTTAGTTGAATGCACTGTTAAAGCATCATATATTTAGAGTTTAATAGCTACTTGTGTTGATTTTTGTTATTTCATATATTGCTGAAATGAGCTGAGCTTAAGGTAAAGTTCAGTATAATGGAAAATATAAAAAATATTAAAAGGTGTTTCTAATGAAATATCCTCTAATGTAACAAACTATAGATGGTCACTGTGCATTATTTTTGCTACATATGAAGGATATAGTTTAAAAGCTGAAGAATTATAGAGACCAGTAAAAATATTTCTTCTGTGTCTATATCCCCATAAGACTGTACTAATGCACTGCTTTATGTAACAATGTGTAGATAATCACTATAGGCATACAACTTTTTTACACAGAGTAAAAGTTATGTAATATAAAAGTTGAAACTTTTGTGTTTGCCAAACAAATATTTTGCCATGTCTATTTGCCTCAGAAGGACAAATTTCTATCTATGTTAGAAGATGGTATTAATTTAACATATTTTCTTTACCATAATGATAAATTTAATGATGTATATTCTACACACACCAATAGTCAAAAGCTAAAGTCAATGTGCTCACAGTAAAGTAGTAGCCAGTAAAATGATTGCTTAGCTGCTGTCTAGAAATGTGTGCAGAAAAATAAAGGATACGTAATACTCATAGAATAATTAATCAAATACTATAGAAAAATTATATATAAAAAATAAAAACTTTGCACCAAATATTGGTGATTATGTGTGTGTTTCTCTATGACTTTTGCAGAAAAACTAAACTGTACGTTCATTGGGATCAGGGAACCTGTAAAGTGCTGCAGTTTCTTAAATAATATAATGGTGATATATAATAATAATCCAATATTTTTTTTTTCATTAACAGTTGGCATTAAAGTTAAAATATACAAATCTTTAAAAGATGCAATACATGTTATGCTTTTATGAACTTCAATAATAGCACAAGAATAATAAATATCTTCGAAAAGAGCAGGGGCCCTCGATCCCCTCATGTTCAATGCATTGTATTGGTAATTTTCTGTCACATGTTCTGTCCCCCTTTGTAATGTACAGCGCTAGCGAACTATTGGCGCTTTAATAAATACTGTTTAATAAAACTATATATTAAAAAGAGCCCTTCTTAATATTCAGTTTGACTACATGCATTCCATTAAACTACCAAACCGAACACTTTTTTGATTCCCAATAATCAGCAGTGAGATCCAGATATTATCCTCTGAACTTAAACATATGGGTAAATTTACTAAAGATGGAGAGTGCAAAATCTAGTACAGAAACCAATCTGCTTCCTTTTTTGTCAGAGCTTAATTGAACAAGCTGAAGTTAGAAGGCTGTTGGCTACCATGCACAGCTGCACCAGATTTTGCACTCTCCAGTTTTAGTAAATTAACCCCATAGTGTCACATAAACCATAGGTAAGCTTTGCTCAGTAAGGCCAAGTACAGTTTGTTTTTTGTCTCAGTCATAGACTTCAGCTTGCCCTTTTGCAAACATTCATGGTGTCCTATGTAGTATTTGTACAGCACTCAATCACTCTGTGGTTCCTTTTTGGTGATGGAACCAAGCTTATAGTCAACAGTAAGTACTGGGTCCACTTATGTGGACTGCATCTTTTGTCTTTATTCCTGCATTAATCATACAGTCCTCTTCTATTTCTCCCCATACAAATGCCACCAGAATTTAGAGGGACATGACTGAATGACTTAAAGAAACATATGCATTTTATTTTTCTTGAATATTGACCACATTATTCTACTTGTATTGTGTTGATGTGTATTTAGCAGGGCTTTCAACACTTTTTAAGTACTTTGAAATGTTCTATCTCATTGGGCATCAGTGATCCACTGGCCATATGTATACAGACTATTATAGACTAATACAACAAGAAAAACTGGAGAAACTCTAGATATACTTTGAATTCCCATAGCTGCAGCTGGGTGTTTCAGTCTCAGCAATGTTTTTGGTGTGTTCCTGTACAAGGCAGTTTTTGTACAGCACTAAAAACATTGTGGTGGATTTTCGGACCAGGAACTCAGCTCATTGTACAAAGTAAGATCTCTTCTCACTTAATTTTGATTATATCACATTGTCACCCTCATTGTTCAACCAAAATTATATTCTGTTGGCAATGTAGTTTATTAAAATTAAGACTGCTCAACATTAGTAAAGGCCACTTTTTCTTGTACTGCAAAAATGAACAGAGTTTCTCATTCACACACATACATTTTTGCTACTGGGCTAGAGACATTTACAACTTGTAGTTTTGGTAAGGTTCTCCATCACTGTGGTATGTCTTTGGAGATGGAACCCAACTCATTGTCAATGGTAAGTACAATCACTATATCTACCTATATATATATATATATATATATATATATATATATATATTATATATATATACACACTACTACCTGCATGGTATTGATTATTTATTGGCTTCATTATTTATATAAAATATAGAATATTGTCTAATGTCACCAAAACCAATAGAGACATGATGAAAAGAAAGAGAAGTGTTTATTTTTCTTGAATAATAACCACAAAATTTCACATGTATGTATTTTGGGGTCGTTAATGCGCTTTTACAGTAGGGAACATTCATTTTTCAATGCATAATAGTGACAGTTCTGCCTCACTGTTCATCATCAGTGAGTCAGTGGGGTAATTTACTAATGGAGTAGAGATTGTACACCTAGTAAAATACATTTCCACACTACAATAGGTAAGTTCACTTTGCAAATGAATTTTTTTTAATAAAGTGAAGTGGTGCTCAATCACGTGGTATACCCAATCAAGTGTGCGGGAAATCCAACATTTAGATTTTTACTAGTACATGACTGGAATTTTTAAAAGAACACAGCTTCATTTTAATTACTAATATTCACTGTGCACAATGAACAGCCACTTTACCTTTAGTAAATCAATTGCACTGACTACAGGTTCAGATTATTGCTACAATAAAAGTTGAAGAAACTCTACACAAACCCTGCATCACCAAAGTTGCAGCTGGCAGCTCCATTCTTATCAATGTTCTTGTTGCTCCTGTACAAAGTTGTTTTTGTGCAGCACACTAAATCATTGTGGTGGATGTTTGGACCTGCAACTCAGCTAATCGTACAAAGTAAGATGTCTTCTCACTTAAGTTCTTCATACTTTATGTCATATCACATTGTAACCCTCAGTAATTAAGCAAAATGATTCTTTTGTAGAAATGATATCTATACAAATATTTTAACTATATATTTCTATTTATAACATATTACATAGGAGCCCAACCTGCATACATGTATCTGTGTTGTAACCTATATTCTGTAGAATAATAGTAAAAAAACTTTATTATTTTAAATTTGAATGCATACTACATCTTCTCACTTTTACTACCTACTTACAGTAAATCTTATTGTGCCACAGTTATCTATGTATATGCAGCTCCATAAAAAGATTAGTAAAGGGTAAATAGATAGATAGAGCGAATAGATAGATAGATAGATAACAAGAGGGTCTATATTTTTAGCACCTTACTAATGATTATCTTACTCGTATATACAGAACACCTGCGTCTCCTCTCCTATGTTTTTATTTTTATTCTTCTGCTAACACATATTTAGATGACGTTAAGCTTTTTTACTGGTAGGTTATGGACAATCTATCTAGCAATCACGTTTAGATTATTTTTCACATAATGCACTCATTGTTTAATTTGTGAACTCTGGCATAAGAAATGTATGGGGGCTGCCATTGCTGACTTTGAAAATATTGTTTCCTTGGTTGTCATGCTCATGCTTTGGCCTCATTGCTTACTTAAATCTCTGACCTGGAACATAGATGAAGAGTTCTGACACTTTTCTGACACTCATTTACGTGTTCCTGGTCTTTGATGCAAATGTATTAAAGCCCCAGCCAGGCAACAAGTAATATTAAAACAAGGCAAGCAATGGCTCTCCCATAATTTGCTCATTACAGAGTGACTTTATTAATAATATATGTTTAGACAGTGGATGAAAAACAATACCTAGCATGCTTACCAGCTAGTTAGCAGCAAAATTAAAGTGGATAACATGAAAAAAATGACCTTTTTTATCGTCCTAATTTCATGTCTCATTTCTAACTGCATCTTTTGTCTTTATCCAACAGCCGGTGAAGTGAAGGCACCAGCTGTGTTTCTCTTTGGTCCATCTAAAGAAGAGTTGGAGAAAGACACAGCCACCTTAGTCTGTACTGCCAGTGAATACAGTCCCAGGACCGCAACAATGGAGTTTCTGGTAGATGGTCAAACGTGGAAGAATGGGGTCTCCACATCACCAATCACCAAACAGAGTGACAATTCATACATGGGAAGCAGTTTCCTCACCATGACCTCTGCTGATTATTCTAAATATGAGAAATACGCCTGCAAAGTGACGCATCAGGGCAAAGAGTTTATCCAGACACTGAAGAGATCAGAGTGTTTCTAATATTCAGCTCATCTCTTTGTATCACCAAGTAATTGAGTCACCTCTCTATTATGAATGAATACTATGTGAAAGATAAATGGTTCTTTCTCTTTTATGCTTTCCTTTAAAATCCCTCAGCTGTTCCATTTGCACAGTGAAATGCATGGATTATGTAATGTTTCTTTTGTTTGCCCCATGAAGCAATCAATAAATGACTGTATATGTCTTTATGAAATCTGTGGTATTTATTCACCTATGTGGAAAAATGTATTGATAAGAATACTGATTAAAAAAAAATTTGGTACACACACAATGGCTAATTAAATACAATGGATCAAATCAAAGGAGCTTAGTTATAGAACAGGGAGTATGACCTTCACCAAACATTCACTGATGGTAAATCAATCACTATCATTTAAGACACATTCAGGAAGATTCTCTTGCAGCTAATTTTTTGGTGAATGTCAGCTTCAATGCTTTATAAAAATACTCCTTAGTGTTGAATTATAGTATATTCAATATTGCCACAAGGTTTAACAAATATTAACCACTCTATGTTAGTTAG